AATTTAGAGTGCCAGCATGTCCTCCTTTTATTCAATATACATGATATATTGATACGTAACTAAATTTCAGTAGTTTTGATACCCCAGGCTGACTCGTATAGCAAAAATATTTGACCGCATCTACTAAAACTGACCATATTTGCACATTATTATGTAAATCTATATAGCCACATAATAATTTAGTAATATTTTATGTCAGGATGTATTGTATAATACAAATGACAGCAATATTGGAACATAATGTGAATACAAAATGTTGTCCATATAAATCTAGATTGCCAGCATGTCCTCTTTTTAATCAAAATATTGTCTCGCAACAAAATTTCAGTAGTTTTGATACCTCAGGCTGACTCCTATAACAAAATTATTTGACCGCATCAACCAAAACTGACCATATTTGCACTTTATTTTGTAAATCTATATAGCCGCATAGTAAATCAGCAACTATTTTTATGTTAGGATTTAATGTATAATACAAATGACAGCAATATTGGAACACAACAACTACAAATTTGTGTCCGCATAAATTTAGAGTGCCAGCATGTCCTCCTTTTATTCAATATACATGATATATTGATACGCAACTAAATTTCAGTAGTTTTGATACCCCAGGCTGACTCGTATAGCAAAAATATTTGACCGCATCAACTAAAACTGACCATATTTGCACATTATTATGTAAATCTATATAGCCACATAATAATTCAGTAATATTTTATGTCAGGATGTATTGTATAATACAAATGACAGCAATATTGGAACATAATGTGAATACAAAAGTTTGTCCGTATAAATCTAGATTGCCAGCATGTCCTCTTTTTAATTAAAATATTGTCCCGCAACAAAATTTCAGAAGTTTTGATATCTCAGGCTGACTCCTATAGCAAAATTTTTTGACCGCATCAACCAAAACTGACCATATTTGCACTTTATTTTGTACATCTATATAGCCGCATTGTAAATCAGCAATTTTTTTATGTCAGGATTTAATGTATAATACAAATGACAGCAATATTGGAACACAACTACAAATGTTTGTCCGCATATACTTAGAGTGCCAGCATGTCCTCCTTTTGTTCTATATACATGAGATATTGATTCGTAACTAAATTTCAGTAGTTTTGATACACCAGGCTGACTTGTTTAGCAAAATTATTAGACCGTATCAACCAAAACTGACCATATTTGCACTTTATCATGTAAATCTTTATAGCTGCATAATAATTCAGTAATATTTTTATGTCAGGATTTAATGTATAATACAAATGACAGTAATATTGGAACACAATGAATACAAAATTTTGTCCGCATCAATTTAGAGTGCCAGCATGTCCTCCTAGCTGTTGTTCAATATATTGATATGTAACAAAATTTCAGTACTTTTGATACCTCAGGTTGACTGGTATAGCAAAATTTTTTGACTGTATCAACTAAAACTGACCATATTTGCACTTTAGTATGTAAATCTATATGGCTGCATTATATTTAATCAGAAGTTTTTTTTATGTCAGGATGTATTGTATTATAATACAAATGAAAGCAATATTGGAAAACAATGAATGCAATATCTTTTCCGCATCATTTTAGATTGTCAGCATTTCATCTCTGTATTCATAATATTAGACCATCACTAAAGTTAGTAGTTCAGGATGATGTGTATAACAAAACTATTTGACAGCATCATCCAACACTGACATGTCTGATTTCATTTTTACTTTACAATGAAAAGTATAAGAAGTTCTCTTCTGGGAATAGTATACTGTTAGTACATTATGTCGGTTGATTGATTTTTGTTTGTAGCTAAACCTCAAGTGGCAACTATTTCATTCATGTGCACAACGAGTATATTTTTTTTTGGAAGTCCCATATCATCATTTTTAATCGGTAAAGACAAATCTGACGAAATTGACTAGATTGTTCATAATTATTCAACACCTTATGTATCCTGACACTGTACAATTTTCGTTAGAATATTTTGTCGAAAACAGAATCGTAAATCCAAAGCGAACAAGGTGAATTACGATGAAATATCCATGTAATGCATAAAGTTAAATTTAGGAAGAGACTGTAAAAAATGGGGAACGAAGCAACGTCCACAATGATGTTGATATCCCATGACATAAAAATATGGCACTGGCTACGGTTACATGGAAATGTAACAATAATAAAATAATTGTGTCTACGGTTACATTGCGTTATTGTTACATTAGTGCAATTCAATGTACGCTGGGACTGTAAATATATATTAAAATAAAACTTCAAGATTTTTATTTGAATATTACAATATAAAAAAATACAATTTATAAATTTTGCATTTACAATGACAGTTTCTACAAACCCAGTATGTTGTTTTGGGAGCGGCATGTTTTAGTCCGACGCATTTCAGTCGTGAAACCACTCAGCGCAGCCATCACAAACGAATGATGTGGCAAGGGCACGTCTGTAAATGCATATTGCACAATTCAATTCTGCAATATCCCTTTTTTAAGTTAAAGAAACTTTCATTGACTGCAATACTTCCGAAGTGAAAAATAAGTTTTTTACTCTTGCGATTTATATATTTTCGTCCAATATTTTTTGTTTGAAGCATGTGAGATTGTTTCATGTTGTAATTTAACATGCGTTCATTGCCTTCCATTTTATGTTCAACTCCGATTTCAATTTTCAACAGCATAGCTGGAGAAAAAATTACTCTTAAAAATACATTTGTAAGGCAATTGATCACACAGTTAACATTTGCCGACAGGTGGAAACAGTTTTTTTTTCATTTTCAGAGTCCAAATATTTTGTGATCGTAATTTCGTTCAAAGTGGCGAAAAAAAATTAAGCAACACAACTATAGAAGGTTTAAGTATAATACATGTAGCTTACATTTGAGTGCATTAATGTAACAATAACACAATGTAACCATAGACACAAATATTATTGTTACATTCGTAATTAATCGGATCCTAATCCAGCCCTGCATTCCGGCAATTAGTCTCCAATGAAACAATAATTATTTTATTATTGTTACATTTCCATGTAACCGTAGCCAGTGCCTAAAAATATTGTTCCGATGCGTTGGATAACATTTCTATCAGACTTCTAATTAAATAAAAACTTTCCTTTCTTTAATGATAGCTGTATGTGATCACAAGTGTGTAATTTTATTGTTTAATGTATATAGTCTAAGACTATGAAATGAAAAAAAGATTTGTTTTAATGTGTATAATATCGATAGAGTCTAATTAACAAGTAAAGAAATTTGCTATACTGGGAAAAAAGAACAATGCGATTATTGTTTACATATTAAAATCAAAAGTCTAAAACACGGTAATCTGTCATAAGCAGACCTGTTCCCAGGTCTGGTCATTAGCAGACTTGTCCACAGGTCTGGTCAGGAGCAGACATGTGCACAGGTCTAGTGTGGAGCAGACCTGTCCACTCAACACAACTATAGAAGGTTTAAGTATAATGCATGTAGCTTACATTGGAGTGCATTAATGTAACAATAACACAATGTAACCATAGACACAAATATTATTGTTACATTCGTAATTAATCGGATCCTAACCCAGCCCTGCATTCCGGCAATTAGTCTCCAATGAAACAAAAATTATTTTATTATTGTTACATTTCCATGTAACCGTAGCCAGTGCCTAAAAATATTGTTCCGATGCGTTGGATAACATTTCTATCAGACTTCTAATTAAATAAAAACTTTCCTTTCTTTAATGATAGCTGTATGTGATCACAAGTGTGTAATTTTATTGTTTAATGTATATAGTCTAAGACTATGAAATGAAAAAAAGATTTTTTTTAATGTGTATAATATCGATAGAGTCTAATTAACAAGTAAAGAAATTTGCTATACTGGGAAAAAAGAACAATGCGATTATTGTTTACATATTAAAATCAAAAGTCTTAAACACGGTAATCTGTCATAAGCAGACCTGTTCCCAGGTCTGGTCATTAGCAGACTTGTCCACAGGTCTGGTCAGGAGCAGACCTGTGCACAGGTGTGGTGTGGAGCAGACCTGTCCACAGGTCTGGTCTGGGGCAGACCTGTCCTCAGGACTGGTCAAAAGCAGACTTGTCCACAGGTCTGGTCTGGGGCAGACCTGTCAATAGGTCTGCAGCAGTCCTAAAAAAACAGACAGTAGGTCTGGTCTACCAACGACAAAGTTAACTTGCTTGTCTGCTTAAAATTTCCCAAGTTAACTTGAAAAGCAGTCAACAAGTCTGCTCAAAGTTAACTTTTGTACAGGTAAGGACCGCACCCATCTGTAACTACAAAAAGAAAAAGTAATAACAAAAAGAGTTGTGGTATGATTTCAAATCTGAACACTATCCACCAGAGACCAAACGACGCGGATGTAAGCAACGATAATAAATCACCATGCCGCCTTCAACAATGCGCATTATATAAAAATATACTGAAATATATATTGAAAATATACATGTATATATATGAGTGATTTTCTGCTAACCATCTAGGATAGAAAAAAGCAACAGTTCATTGTTTCTTAAAATTTTGAAATACAGTTCTCGAAGTAGCACATAATCGTTTACAAATGAATAGTATGGATTCCATCTGCCTATTTTGTGCCAAAAACAGAAATAAGGGTTTTAAATGTTGGAGATTCAATACATTTTTGGGCTAAATTACATCGTAGTGTATTTTGATAATAACATCGTCCTGGTGCTATTCATGTTTTTCCTAAAAAGCGTTATACGAGTAAATGTCATGAATTAACATAAAACTGTAAAACTCATTGATGATAGTAGAGTAAGCAGTCGTCATTTTTGTTGACTATATATCCGCAGAATATATTGTGTGCTTTTTTTCTTTGTGACCGCTCTAAAATACACGTAACCAATTTGATGACATGAGTGTATTTTTCTCTAAATTTTGGATAATTATTATTCGCAAAGTTGCAAAAACAAAGCGCATACTAGTAATTTTGATAAATTATTATCTGCATGCTGTATCGTATGCATATCTAATATAAAAAGTCTATGTATAATTATTATTTATTTTAGATACGTAGTCTTTATACATTCAGAAATGCGTTTCATTAGCCAATGTATCTCATATTTATTAGCACAGTGACTACTGTATTTTGTTGAATTGAACATTACATTTTGACGACCAGTACTACAGTTAATAAACAACCTGTCCTTATTGAACTTATTATAGTTAGTAGAATGTATGTATTCGTTTCATTTTTTCCTTGTTCATGTAACAATCCACGCAAAATAAAATTAAGATCCTCTGTTGTCTAGGTATTTGCATTTGTATGGCAAGAGAGGATGCATACTTGGCCAAGGTATGGGTGGTCTTTCAATTGAACCCGTGTATCCACAGTCAATATATTGTCCAAAGAACTCATAAATTGCCTGACTTATCATAGGATCTCCAAGATATCCACTCACTACCCCTTCAGTTTCATCTTCCGGATTTTGTAAACATATTGTCCATGTTGGACGGTCTGATTGTGTTCTTACTTTGATGTTTCCCACTTGTTTGCGGTCAGTCCACTTACTGTCAGTGAAACATTTAGCATTAGCATTTTTCCCGACAATTTTGCCGTTGGTTGCGCCCATGTTTAAATCTAAATCCTGTTGAACCTTGCTCATCTCTTGTTGGAGTTTCTTGATATTCTCGGCTATGGTATCTTCGATGTCCTTATTTTTGCTTGTTTGACTGTGGTTACCATATAAATCTTGTTTAAGACTGAAACATGTTTTAATGTATCCCTCGTTCTCTGTTTTGACACGTTCAAGAAATACCGGATCGTCTTTTTTCGGATCCCCTAATTTTAAACATGGAATTAGATCTTTTAACTTCCTAACCCTTTGGCCATTGTGAAGAAACTGTAGTAGTTTTGCGAACTCGAAGGCCGTATATCTATTGAGACCTGTTAAAACTTCCACTCGCAGTTCACGTTCTGTTTCAGAAATACACAATATATCGATGGAGTTTGTAATTTCAATATCCTCCATATCCAAATGCATCAGAGCAGAAGGAGAATACAGCATACCTTTCAGGTGAAATAGAATTAATGTTTCTCTTTGCCTAGATCTATTTTCCTTTCGAAACGTAACCGATTCTAAGAAAGATGATGTGTCATTTAAATGAAATTTCCTTGTGCTGTATGATACCAATTCTACTGGGAATCCTCGATGATATAGCGTCTGCAAAAGGAAAACATTTGCATAATAAACATCGAGTAAAGAACAAAACATGACAAACGTTTAAATGTTTTTTTTTAATCAAATGAACAAAATCTACAAAGCAGGTTATATATGTATTGCACACCAATTGCTTAATACAATGAAAGACATTTTTTTATCACAGAGCTTAAGAGTAGATGAACGAAGTTTTGAATGGTATCTAGAATTACCTCAATTTAATATTGTGGAAGACTGAGGTTTTATTCATGCGATTTGAATATGCTGATATAAAATCCTCCAAAAAAGGAAATATGAAACCGACTATTAATTTAGAATATTAGAGGCTTTAAACTTTACTGTAGGTTGCACTTGGTAAATATAGCTGATTTATAAATCACTCATCCATTGGGAGATGATTAATATTCATAGATAATTTGAATTTTCTACCTACTGATTCCTAGATATGATTTTCATGTTTCGTCTCATAGAGACACAATTGGGAATTTTATCAATATAAATAAAGTTGGATAGTGGTAAAATTGAACTCCCTAGGGAGGTGTGGTACATAATTCAAGTATAGTTTAAACACTACGAAGTTTAAGGCATATTAATTTTTAAAATATGCCAACAAACCCTATATTTTGACCTTTGCAAACAATAGTAGTGCATATGCACTTCCCTCCCATTCCAGAATATATCTTTTATGAAATTTCATAGTAGAAGTGTGACAGTTTAAGCCGTAAAAGGATTCCCTATGGAAAATTGCATTATCTATATTTACCATGTTTAAAAGAGTGAAACCTATATTGAATGAAAAAATAAAAATTGTTAAATTTCATTAAATATAATTCATCTTCAGAGAATTTAATAAAATTTAATCAAATATAAAGTTTTATTAATATTTCATTTAGACTGAGAACATTTTGAGCCTTACGTTTGATTATGATGACTCTGCATAAATGAGAAGCGAAAGATACTATAGGGACATTCAAACTCACAAGTGTAAAATAAACTTACAATGTCATGAAAAGAAAAAAGACTACAAGACAAACACAGTATAAAAACACAACATCAAAAACTATAGACTGAGCATAAATTCACAGTTTACCGTGCTTATTTTAATTTTTACAGTCATTGAAACTCATTGATGTTTGAGAACATTGGGTAAGGATGGTTCGACTGAATGAAAACACACAAGTAAGAAGTAACACCTTACTATGCTTTCTTATGATTGATGGGTCTAGGGATAAAAAAATACAAGCTAGAGACACAAAAAAAAATTGATAAAACTAACAATTGTGTGGTTTTTCCTTAAACCGCACGTTTTAATTCATATGTTAGAACTGACTGTTAAAATCTGATTTTTGCTCTATAGCAAGATTATTGTTTTCTATACAAAAGACGTTTATGATAATACAATCATAGCCTTTACAGGTTATTGTTTCTATTTTATGACCCAGAGGTAAGAAATTTTTAACCTTTGTTTTGACCCTTTAATTGTGCATTTTTTATACAGTGTATGATTGTATTATCATAAACGTCTTTTGTATAGAAAACAATAATCTTGCTATAGAGCAAAAATCAGATTTTAACAGTCAGTTCTAAAAAACTTTAAAGAATTTAAATATCAAATTGGTAACCTCATAAATACAGCCTTTGCAAACATGACTTTTTTTTAAACACATCTGGTTTAAATATTAGCCGAAGAAGGAGACATTTATTATATTCTGAATTGTTTTAATTAGTTATCAAAACAGTTTCATACAGGATCCAGCATTTCATGTCAGCAAACATGCACATATGGTAGACTGACAGTAATTAAATATAAAAATTAGAAGGTTTGGTACTATTGGCAATGAGACACAAGAGACCAAATGACGTACATGTAGCAATCTTGTTTAGCAAATCATTTAAAAACTGAAACAGAGGTGGGGTATTTAATCATCCACTGAGCAGAGTATAAGTTTTGATTTATTTAAGGCAATGATTTTAATAAAAAGAGAATAAAAAAAAATCCCGATCTCCTAGGTAAATTCGAGAAAGGAGTCTATACAAACAGACAAATCAGAGTGTATCGACCAACTGAACGAATGGAAAACAACTGTCATATTCCTGACTTGGTACATGTTTTCTCCGACGAAAATAGTGAGTTAAACCTAGTAGAAAAACCTCCCTCTTGTATAACAGTTGTTAATAGATCCTATATATTTACAAACTTTGGTGATTAACCAAAAACAAAAAACAAAAAACAAAAAAAACATGAATGTGCAATGATGGGGATCCAGCAGTCAAAACTGTGTAAACTGTGTTTTGTCACATATAAACAACACACTAAAACTTTAAAACAAGCATATAAACAAGTTGAGATAAATAAGAATTTTTTGTTGAGTTTTCTATTTGAATAAATGTCAGTCTATAAATAAAACCTTTAATTGAAGGCGATATTTGTTTCTATGTAAAATTCTTCAAATTACAACAATCGTAGTCATTTTGCCTTAAAATAAAATGAAAGACATTTCATTGCAAAGCACCACTGTACCCTGACTTGTGATGAAAAAATCAACATAACGTTAAATTCATGTTAGAGCGCACTGGTTCTCAGAGGTTAAGACGTGTAAAACAGGTACACATGTACTTCTGATCCGATTGAGAAACAGGCAAAATATGCACTTCAACTTCAACTTCATACATTTTTTATTATTCTAATAAACATTCAACAGGGTTTGAACAGTGATACCATATCTTTCAGTATAATTTCAGGCCAAATTCACACAAACAATTAACATATTTTGAAAGTTACAGCTTTTCGTTCCTGTATGTTCTTTCTGAATGACCCAAATATGTAGTTCTTTATCTGAATGTTTTTTTTATCCAAAATATATTCTTTAATATATGTTAATCCGATAGCTATATGAGCTAGACAAATTTGACCAAGGAAAGATTTTCTTCAATTTCATATTGATTCTAAAATACTATATCACATCAACCACTGTAAACAAAAGAGTTAAATACATTGTTTAGTTGCTTACTCTCTTTTTACTTCCATTAAAGAAGAAAGATCTATATGTGAACACAACTAAATTTGGTTGACAGTTTCGAAAAAAAGAGAATTAATATAAACACATTATTTAAATTCTGTTTTCATTAATGTCTAATTAGGACAAGAGTTTACCGTTGTGCAAATCATCTCGTAAATCGATTAAGAAGAGACAAACAAAATGGAATGTTTCAAACAACAATTGTGAGTTTTTTTCGTCAATGCCAATTTAATACAACAATAAGACTTTATAAAATTTAATGCGCCTAAATCGCTTTTCTGTATTTCACTATTTTGACCTATTATCTTTTTTATAGACAATAATATAGCCTTGTATCTTTGATTGTTTTTTTTCTAATCAGAACACCCGAACCGAAAAAAAAAATAGAGCCTCTTTAGCATGTTTCCAATGGCTATGTCTGCAACAATAGATACGTCCATTGATGTGTTTTTATGTACTAAATCAAGGGCTTTTATTTGAATCTCTCGTGTGATTATACGGGAGATATCAGATATCAGATATTTCAAGTCTCCGGGTCCGATCTCACTTCATATACATCAGTCACGTGATTACGGCAATATTTTGATAGGGGTGGGAACCTGGATGATCAAAATGAATTTCAAAGTAATTAGAATATATTAACTGATCTAAGGTTTAAAGGATTATGAGCACAAAAAAATACGAAAAATGTGTGCACCCGGAAAACAGTATCGGATTTTTTTCACAAACCAAAAATGTTAAAACATATGATATAGTTTCATATAGTTTTGACTTCAAAAGTATACAAATTATGCGATTATGTTATTGACAAGACCACAAGAATAAATAGAAGTAAAAGGTGGAAGACAATTTAATTAAGTTCAATTTTTGTAGAACACGAGAATGTATTGGCTACTAAAAAATGATATTTTTTTTTACTCTGGATACTTACTAGTCGAAATGTTTAAAAACACAACTTTTACTCTGGATACTTACAAGTCGAAATGTTTAAAAACACAATTCCTTATGTTGGAATACCAGCTCTATTGTCTCAGGAAAGGCAAGGACTACTTTAACAACAAATTCAACATTTGATCCGTGCAATGCGAAAAAAAGTAGCATCCGTGATTCGTGTGAACGCTGTATGTACTTAGTATTGAACATTGTTGTGTTTATTGTAACAAAAGGCACCTATTCTCGTTTTCAAAACTAAGGGAAGTGTACTATTGAACTTTTCGACTTGTAAGCACCCTTAAATTCACATTGTCCACTCATAGTACCCAAAACATCTTCTTGTTTGACTGAGGTATATAAATATAGACTTCACTCATCAGCTAACGAAACGTATGCTAATGAGGGGATTTCGTTTAGCTATGCTGGATGTATAAATCTGCGTCATTTTACATGATTTATTTGGTTAGCAAATCGTTGTTTTATTATAATAAATCACCATAAAATGACCCTCTGAAATACAGAATGAGTACATGCATGACGTAGTTTCACTATGGAGTACTAATTGTAGACATAATCACTTTGCCTGCTGGTATTAAAGGAATAAACGTAATTTTACGGAACCTTATTGGCGTATTTCAATTATACAATATTTTTTAAAAATTACCTAACACTGAAAATACAATTTGTTTAAATTTGTTTAACAAATTCAGTCATTTTACAAAATTACTCTAGTAGAAGGTAATTGTAATGATTTCTGATAATGCCTTGCAAGGTAAGCATGGTAAGGAATTTCATATTTAGCTTGACTTTTTCTGCCCTTTGATTGGGTTGTTGTCTCTCTGGCACATTCCCCGTTTTCATTCTCAGTTTTATGATGGGTTGTAGCAATATCTTAATTAGGAAAATTTCTGTGTTATACATGTATATCAAATGCATACTAGATATATTAAATATCAAATCATTTTTACCTTACTTTCATCAGGTTGATCTACAATAAATAAACAAAATATAAAAACAAAGACCTCCCAAAGCAATTTCAATTCAAAACGTGGAGGTTTTTGTGTAAAATGTTATTAATTTCTCACACAACATTAACTACAGTTTTGATATTTCTAGTATTTGGATATTAAATCAATAATTAGAGTATATCAAATTAAATTTAGCATGTTTAAGATATAATTGGTAAATTAGAAAATTAATATTACTAAAGGTTGTTTTGCAACTTATTTTCAATAAAATTGTTGATGGACCTCCTTCCTGTTACAATTAAACGTTATAGGACATTTATCATTATAGTGAAATTTCCTTTAACTAGCTCTATTAAAGATGCATTCTTCTGACGTTTCAGTCTCGGTGAAATCTCGTTTTGGAATTATTTCCAAAACATGTGATACAAGTGGAAAATATCAATGAATTTAAAAAAAAAACTCTGTGAAAAAATTGTGTATTTACAATAAGTAGTTTTTGAGTAATAGAATTTGCAAATTTTATAGCCAATCAGGTCAGTCTCATTAGCCAAAATGTTGAGAAAATGGGTGAGGGGTACAAGAAATGATTTTACCAGATACATGTACATCCCATATCGATTTTTTCTTTTCAAATTTCTAAGATATGTATTTTTTCAATCATTTATAACGAAGAAGTTGAAATAATATGCTTTTTGTTCTAGAAAAAGAGAAAATTCACAAATTCACAAAATTGGCAACATGGTAAATTTGACAAGAAAAAGCAACAAAATTTTATAAAACTTTCTTATATTAACACCTTCCTATAGTTTTTTTTTTAAGTTTAATTGATTCAGACTGGTCCACTCCATCTTTAGTGAAAGTATGAAAAAAAGCTTAATCGTGAAACTGTGATTTTTTTCATGATAATAGCCCAAAAATGGGTAAAAATTGATGAAAAATGGGAAAATCATCAAAATTGGATACTTTCAAATGGCTGTAGAAAATAAAAGAAGTACCATATGATTTTTTCTTCAGCAATTATTTTTTACAGTCATATAAACCCAAAAATCAGGTTAAGAAAAAAAGTTTAATTCTAGAAATTTTTGGCTCCTCAGAGGTGTACATCCTTAAAAGACTCAGTAACTTAATATTATTTATGTAAATAGCTGACACAAACGTGTTAATGTATGATATAGTAATGCACCTTAATCTTTATATAAAATGCATGCAATCAAGTCTAATCAAATCATTGACAAACTTGGCTTCAGTCCTTTCTACATTTATAAATAGTAGAATGTATATTTCGATTGAACTCAATGCTGTTAATGCCGGCAATGGGTGAACAAGAGATATTTGAATGAAAAACTACTACATTTGACTATTGCCAATGTATAATTTAGAAAATAGCAAAAAGGATAGCGGAATGAAAATGAAAGAAACAGCAATCAAACAACAATAAATTTTCAAAGGACTGAAAATAGAGTAAAACATGTTAAACTCTCTCCCATTAAAGGTATATCAATGTAAAGGCATTGTCGAAGACCTACCATCAACTCCCGATTTTTCATGATTTGATTTAATGTTTAGTTTTGCTCGACACGACATGATCAGCAGACAGCTTGATACTATATTGAGACTCATAAATAACATGTCAAGTACAATGTTATATCCTTAAAAGAGAAGTTAAAAATTGCAAACATAAAATAATAATCCCATTCCGTGTTTAAAAGTCGTGTTTGAGACATTTTCTGTGTTCCGATTCGTGATTTTGATTGTTTTCTAAAAGCATAATTTTGTATATTTTTTGTTTCTTACAGGTTTTTCCCATATTAATATAATATACATAAGCATACGTTTAATATCAGTATAGTATTGTTCTGTTTTTCAAACATACACAGTGCACTGATCCTAAAACTCACCAAATAATCCAGCTTATAATATTATACGCTTTACGAGCACGTTTCGTCTACACAATTCATAACTGTTATGTAAGAATCAAATTTCGGAACAAGCACTTGGAATGTGTTGTTTTAATGGCTCTGTTTTGACACGAATCTCGTTGATGTGTCTTATATAGACGAACACTTTTTTGGTGATATTTATCATGACATTTTATAGAATGTCACTTACCTTCATTCGAGTAGTCATTTCCTGTATCGATATACGTGTTGTCCAATCGCGGAGGTATCTTTGAAGTTTCAAAATGTGGATAATCTATTATAGAAAAACGGAAATATTAGTAATAAATCCTGCTTATACCATAACGTCTCACCATTAAGTCTAATTGGAATCGACAGTATTCTTGAAATGCATGTGGGTAACTTAAATAGGAAAATCATCGGAAGATGGAATCATTTAACTTTTACGAATTTTTGGTCCTCAGTGCTCTTCAACTTCGTACTTTATTTGGCCTTATTAACCTTTGTTTGATTCGAGCGTCACTGATGAGTCTTTTGTAGACGAAACGCGCGTCTGGCGCAAATATAAAATTTCAATCCTGGTATCTATGATGAGTTTATTTCCACATTCTAGTGAGATCTTGACTTTGATTTTAAAATCATTAAAGCTATTTCTCCGACCGGGATCAAAACAATCACCTCCAAATCTCAAATCATAGACGATACAAAGTGAAATCCGTGATAGTTTTTACCCTTAACAATGCTTATGGTAAACTAAAATAAACAAAAGAAAAAACTAAACATGTCTTTCTATGCATACCCTTTTTAGTAAAACAGGCCTGGTTTCCTAATTCTAGATCTGAATTATGATTGAAAATTCTGTTCTGTGTGTTCACGTGATTTTCTGTTCTAGCTATGATTTAGAAACAAATAAGTTAACATAATTATATACTTTAAATAACTGAAAATATATACTAAAGGTATATATGAACAGAGAAATGTGCATCAAGTCTCGGAGAATTTGATTAAATTAACACCTATAATGTGACTTCCAAACTGTTTTGATTTGAGAGCAACTGGCTTGTCTTTAATGGACAAACAAGTGTGTCTTGCCTACAAAATTATTCGCCTGGTATCCATGATGAATTTTACTAAATTAGTCTATATTTTTGTTCAAACATGAAAGCAACACAAGTTGATCTTCATTAACTTCTTTTGAATGCATGGTAAATCCTCTATTTTTTTTTATCTCAATAATCAATGTGAATTGTTTGTCATAATTTCATAACTTTTATTTCTTGGGAAAACCGATGGAATAACTAGCACTGTCCTATATTTTATCATATGTTTCGACTGCATTTTATCTAAACTATCTTAATTTTTTTGTTTGTTTTTTTTGTTATGGGGGTTCTTGAAGTCAAGCGGATTGAAGCTTATTCCATGCTATTGATTCACTTCGTCTTAGTTTTCAAGTAAATTCGTTATATCGAAAAGCCAAAAACTAGTGGAATAGGTGTTGATTACTAACATAAGATACTTCCAAACAATACTTTCAATTCAGTTATGTCTTGTGTTCTGGTAAAATGTTGGAGTTTACCATTTGATGGTATCGTTATCTCTATATTCGATTGTCCCTCACTATCTGAAAATGGAATAAAGGTTTAGTGTTGTTGTTTGAATAATAACTTGTTGTTTCTTATTAAAAACAATGTATTTAAAAAGAAATTTTTGATTAGATTCTTTCTCGGTAAAAAAAATCATGTCGTAGGTTTTCTAGTCAATATTGTTTTATATTTGTCATTTCGTGGTCCTTACTAACTAACATATGGTATGGGTTTTCTTCATTGTTTAAGGTCATGCGTTGACCTAGAGTTGCTTTAATCCACGTCTTATGGTCTCTGGTGTATGGTTGTTTTTTTGAAAATCATATCACAATTCATGCTTTCTAATCGATGCCAAATAATGCTTCAATCTTCAAATCGATTGAATTAATACAGATTAAAATCAGTAATTGTCATAAAGGAGGACATATCGCCTATAGGTTCTATTCGTTTTTAACATTAAACCTTATTTTAGTTTCTGTATTGAACTCTTAGAATAGAATGATCGTAAATATGATTTCTTTTATTACGTTATCCCCTTTAATTGCAATTTTTCTGAGGAAAAAAAATGTTTAACTGGTGTATATATAGATAATATAAAATCACATATATTTATGCCATCCAGCATTTAGAACAACGGTATATATAAAGAAGGAGAGGTGATTTTTTAAAACGACTAAGATAATTACATTCTGTTGACTATTATTTGTATAACCCTACTATGAGAATGGGATCTACAGCTTTCAACTTATCTGAACTTAATGCTTTATTTGGCCAGCAGCTTGATGATATATAACCTTATATAAAGTATATTCGAATCTGTCAGACACCTAATTCATGTTAAACACGACAACGTTCTGTATAACCACAATTCCGGCAGCGTCTGTATATAGAACATACACCACCAAGTTGATACGATATTCAAGCGCTTGTATTTATTCTCCTAATGTCTTTGATAGACGGTTGTTGCTGACTAAGCAACTATGAAACCAAGGGTTCCACGTTGTGAGGCATTACAAATATTTCTTGAGTTGGGTAGAAATTCAGTTAAAATTGGGAAAGAGATCAGTCATAACATTTCCGTATAAAACACATTTGTCCACGTGCAGTATAGTATCAATAATGAAAAACTAGTGAACAGAAATATCAACACAAACTGGGAGGAATCGAATAAGGTATTAACAATAAAAAAAGGCCTGAAATGTATTATTGTGTTATTATCATTAATGATTCGATCCCTACTGATGAGTGTTGTGTAGACGAAAGACGCGTTTAGCGTACACAATTACAAACCTGGTATCTTTAATGAGTTAACAACAAATCCACGATGCAACAGCTGTTTGATTATTTGTCCTAGAGGGTATCACCCATTAAATATTCAGCACTCGTGTGCTGACATGAAATATCATTAAAACAATTCTTTTTGTTTATTCAAAATTAACGACATTCATAATCATCACAAATACTAAGGGTTTTCTAACAACTGAATTAATCGCTTTAGACTGATTAGTTGCTCAATGCTTTTCAAATAACTAATTGATTTAGAACTTTTTTTAATTTTTAGAAATACTGTAAAATATTGCGTTGAAAATAGCGACTGATGTGCACATGTATTGTTTTACTAGTATAAATTTCTGTCTTAACAAACACAGTATTCTTAACGGTACCTTTATTGACTAAAACACGTAAGATTTCTCCTTCTTGTATTACTTTTACATCTGGATGCATATATATAACCGTTGTCTGTGTAAAAAATGCAATCATCTTTTGAATGAAAGATTTTGGAACAAATGGTTCTGAAAAAGAAAGAGTTCATCTATGTTTTAAAAAAAAAATGTTTAATCTGATACTGTGTCAGTCGAAAATGCCATGCATATTTCAATCATTTCAACATTGATTGTTATATAAGTTATTTCTATTTTTCTACATTGAATTTTCTAAAAAAAAAATTGTAATTTTTGTATCAATTCATATTTCAATTACTCCAAGCGCTTTCAAAAATTAAAAAGTATAACAAGTATAATTTTCACTTTTCTTTTAAATACAGTAAGGCTTTTAACTCAAATTAAATGATCACTTTTTATTAGAAGGTACAGACATTCCTTACCAATAGTTTTGGAGGATTCTGTCTAAATGGTTATAATCCCTACAATCCCTTCCCCTTTTCACGAATGTGACCTACCGAATTAGACTTATTACCGGGTTTGTACTAACATAAGCAACACGACGGTTGCCACAATTGGAGCAGTATCTGCTTACCCTTCAGGAGCACATGAGATCACCGCCAGTTTTTGGTGGGGTTCGTGTTGCTCAATCTTTAGTTCTTTATGTTTTCTTTTGTGAACTATTGTTTGTCTGTTGGTCTTTTTCCTATTTTAGCCATGGCGTTGTCAGTTTATTTTCGACTTATGAGTTTGAATGTCCCTCTGGTATCTTTCGCCTCTCTTTTATAACACTTTTTTCGTTAAATGACATACATGCAAGGTTAATATATAGACAGATTACAGACTTTAACGGGCAAAAAATCAAACAAAACATGCATTTCCAATCTCAATTTTATAAAATGTTCGAATATCTATAGCAAATGAAAGATAGACCAACACTACGCATAATAAGACTCACATGAGTTATTAAGAACCTTAAAAAAAACAATGCATGTCAAATAACATTTGATCGAAAGGCAAAAAATGAAGAAGTGCATATAAGAGAAGTTATGTGAATGTTAAAAATTAAATTTTTGTAACAGTATTGTTTGAAAAGTATGAAGACTTACGCTGAGCAACATAATTTAAACTTATATCATGTATTCCATTTCCACTAGCCGTGTCCATTTTAATGTCTTGTACTGGAACGAAACAACAAATAAAAGATATTATTCATTTTTGCTTTTGAAATTGTGTTAGAAGCACAACAGACCATTATACAACAACGTTATTTTGACAGATTTTCCAACTACTTGCCTTGTTAACTACCTACCTATCTCAAGCCGAGTCACACAAAGTAAACATTATATCTGCTGATTTTTCACAAAGCATATGCCATTTAAAGGTAAAATAAGTAATGATTGACTCGAATTCGGAATATCGAACTGTCTTCCTGCAGACTTGTAAACCTTCTAAACTAGCGCGTAAACAATTCGACTTGGCGTGTAGGTTGAACACTATGGACAGTTTGTCGTCTGTAGTTTTCCTACTTTTAACCATTGCATTACTAACGTTTTTTGAGGGACAAATTAAAATGCTTAGAATATAGTCGTCATGATTTAAAGAGTCATCTGTTCCATGATTTATATAATATTAGTTCGAGTAAACCAACAGACTATCAACAGATATGACACTACACATTGTTGATGTGGATAATGTTTATGAACAAAATATTCACAACTACCAATCATACTTAGTATTTGAAAGGCGTTCTCATTTAGATAAAAACCATTACAATATGAGTAAAAGAATGAATTATTCAATATCAGGGAACAACATCCTATAATCATCATACCAAGAAATTAAGAATGAAAATTAAATGGAACTCAATATCTGATACAAATACATGTATATCATATTCCTACCTGAAACACTAGAACACAGAAACCGGAAGAAAACCATTGACAAGTCAGCTGACTTACTCCTTTATTCAAAAAGTGGTATTGCTCAGTTTGCCTTACCAAATAGCAACTCAATATTCAATTTTATCCTTATACCTTTACCATTAGAAGATTAAATGATGCAATCATTACATCCATCAAAAATGATAGATGTTTGGTATACGAAACAAACAAAACCATAATCTTATCAAAAAATATCAAATACTAGAATAATCATACAGTCGTAGACAGTTGTAGTCTATGCAATATTATAACCAATATACTAAGTTCTAAATCGTCCTGAGCCTAAACAAGTCTTGAATAGTTATACATTAAACAAAAAGAATAAAAGATATCGGTCATCAAAAACACAGTTAATGAAATAAATACATACGAAACAGAGAGACAAAAGAAAACAAAAACCGTTGAAAAAAATAAAATTGCTTCCAACAATGCTTTTAAAATAATATAGCTTAAAGCATTAACTTTCATTAATTGTATATTTCCCGGTTGATTCGGTATGTGCATGGTTGCTCTGACGCTTCAATTAGCAATTTAATAAATCACTTGATTTTTATACTAAAACGTTTCTTACAACAGGGATACGAATGATATTAATTTATTTTAGTAAGTTTTTAAAGAGGAATTTGTTGTAGAATCCTTTATCCATGTTCTATAACTATAGATTTTTACATTGAATTTTCCTTATCGGCATTAATCTCCTAGCTCCTACAAGTGCCCGATATCGGCCAAGGAATGAAATCCGGTTCAATATTGAAAGTCGAATATTCTAATAGATATATTTAATGTATTGCCTACAAAAACAGAAAGAGAATTAATTCACACGTTGCACTTCTGTTTCAATCAATTACTGTGAAAGTACTTTTATATATTCGTGGGTATCAATTTTCGTGGCTTGAGCAAAATTTACATGTTCGTGGGTCCTTAAAATCGTGGAATTTAATTTACTAAAACAAAAATTGAGTTAAGAATTTGAAGCCATCAGAAACGAAGATTCTGGAAAAAAATCATGCGTTTTGTAACAATGATTTGTTGGACATTGCAAATGGTGTTCATAGTGCGTTTTACTGATATGCGATGTATTCTCCAGATTATATGCCCGTATACATGTAGTCAAACGTACATGGGGATCTTCTCGTGTCTTGATTTAGACAACAGTTGTTATATTTCGTTGGACACTTAAATTCGTGGATAAATCCATCCACGAAAACCACGAAAATAAAAACAGCTTTTATATATTCATGATATCTTTTGAACTATTTACATGTTCCGTTCAAGTCTCACATGTGTGTAAATTTCAGAATTCTAAAGTACTTTTATTCGTGGGGTACCTAGCTGAATACGTTGAAAAACTTATGTAAAAAAATTGTGACGTCTACAGTAAAATGTATGTTGATCATCAGACAAAAAAACTGTGTTTAAAAAAGGTATAGGGAATTGAAACATCAATGAATCATTTTTGATATATCACGTGAATGTGGGATGTGATTTATACAGATAATATTACAAATGTAGTCCGGTATATTTTTCCTTAATTGTTTTACAAAGAAAGGCAACCCCGGTCCTTTTGAAATATCAGTTATAGCAACGTATTCTCAAACTTTGAGTGTCATGTATATCTTTTGTCAATTTAAAAAATATGAGATACATTTTAGATATTGGTTCGTGTTTATCTGAACTCAAACATGTTTCACTTAGTATCGAAATCAAAACTTGTTAATCTGAAACCAGTTAAAAACGTCCGTTTGTTTGCTTTTTTTTGTCTCTCTCAATGTGTAAAACTTTAATATGCTGTAGATTTAAATTGCCACAATCTATATTAATAAAAACTACACAATAACTATAATATCTTTCATTTGATCGAAAAATACTTACAATTTCAGATCTTAATATCCTTCAAACAGCTGATACATACGTAGTAAAAATACACATAATAGATAAAGAGTTTAATTTCCGTATGAAAACAAAACATTCAATAGAGGGAAGTAATTTAAAGTTATTTTTACACGCTATGACTAAAAATCCATACATACAGAAATAAACCATTGAAACTGAAAAAATACAGTAACAACAATTATACCGGTATTTAACTGTAGAACATCTAGAAAAATATTCAGAAATGGGGTAAATTCAGGTTGACTAAATTTGCAAAGTTTGAACGATGGCATGGAGTTCAATTGCGCAGACATATATTTAATGTTCAAAGTAAATCTTTGTCACGTTTTTATCAGACCAATCATTTTAACAATTGAGAACCCGTTTAAAAGAAATTATACGTTCAAGAACTGGCCCTATAGTGAAGATGCGAGGACTTAGCTTACTAGAGCTAGATTTAATTATACAGAAATAATAGAAAAAAAAGATATGGAATATGGACGACATGAAATGCTCCTCTGCAAAAAGAGACAATACGTTATCTAGAGTGGAAGGACAAGAACTCTTCAAACCAAGCACACATTGAATTGAGTCCGCACTGTAAATGACAAAAAAATAAGCAAACATAACAAGAATTTATATAATTGTTTACGTTAGGGTTGATGGGCGTTCTGTGTAATTACGCTATAGAAATGATCGTCACAGACTTTCAAGTTTCAACAATTTGGAAATTGTCAAAATCAAATCACCCGAAGATCTTGCTGAAGCAGAATTTGTTATACAGGTGAATTATACTCAACCGTTTTTCAATATGATTTAAAAAAAACTAGATAAATTAAAGTCAATTAATGAACAATATTATATCAAGATGTATAAACATAATTTCATTATCAATGATTAAATAAAAAAACAGGATTAATGTGTATGTATTTATGGCATACAGTTTTTGCCCGCACACAAAAAATTCTGAAGAAAGTAAACCATATTTTTATTGCTGTCCTTTATTATCAAGAACAAAGATCCCGGATAATAGCAACACACTACAACAGTCTAAAACATTTAATCGGATAAGTAAGAAAACCGCCCATCACAAATAAAAGTATTAGACAAATAATACAGAATTACAATTTTGATGCATATGTAAGCTGAATGAGGACATTTAATCTTTAAGAATTATTTGTTATTATTTTCTGATTAAGCCTCAAACAAAGAATTCCTACCATACTTCGTAGAAATACGGACATCCATGTACAGTAAAATATTAAAGTTTAACTTTTTTTTAAATATCTTAATTATTCTACTGTCAAAATAAAATCCTTATTTCATAATATCATTTGTTTTCAATCCCATTATGTCTGCTGCATTAGTACTGTATCAATTAATATGTAATGTTGCTCCTTATAAACATAGATATACATAATTGAGATTGCTATAGGTTTTATCTTGATAAGCTGTAGAAAGTTAGTTTATTGTGAGTCATCTGTAAAATGACTTTTTTTTTTTATCTATACCTTTAATGGACGTATACTTGATTACTTCAGAGTAAATTACATAACTGTGGTTGTCATCAGAAGTTTTATTTACCAGAAACAATTTGAATCATAAAAAATCTTTGTTTTCATCATGTTCATTGTCTGCTTAAATAAGAAAATAAAGTATTCGCATGTGGCAAGTTATTAATCTCTATTCATTAACGTACAATTGCATTATTTTCTAGAAAGACCTTTTTTGGGTATTTTAATTTCTATCCAAGTTACAATGGTAAAATACGCATTTGAAAAGTAAATTAGGACAATTGTATTTTTATTTTTTTTTAAATGTGAAAGATTATACTGTGTGTTTCAGTTGTGGGCTCTAGCTTGTCGACTGTTAACCAGATGAAGAACCGTGGACGGTCATTGCCCGGCATTGTCCAGAGTGTTACTATATCAAGGAACAGAAAGATCCACGGTTTGATCCAACAGAACAAATGACCAGATTTTGGTTCTTATGAAACGATTTTATGCACTAAAAAAATCAGACCTATCACAAACATGTTAACAGAGAGACATAATCATTATAATATCAAACGAACATAAAAAAACATATCCTCAATTATACATAAAATTGTATACTTTGCTTTTAATTTTCATCGTAGCTATTTAGTTGTTACCATATTTTCCATTTTGAAATACAGCTATTGAGATTGAAGAAACTTAATGGCTCTGCTCTGCTGAGCATTTTCACACGTGTTACCGTAACCAATTCAGGCAACCTATTCTATACGTTTCTTTCGTGCAACATGTCGTATTCTAAGCATTTTCTTTGTGACGACAATATATTTGTTGGTTCTTGGTCCACTTTATTAGATGTGTAAAATTTTAAGTTGTTTTACCCATCAATACTGTAAAATGATTTAAAAATCAGAACATTCGGCAACCGACTAAGCTACATATGGTTGAAAGTAAGGTGGGAAATATCTGTTAATATTGTTCACTTAAATGAATTCGGCTAATATTAGTTTTTAGCAAGAGTTTTAATTTGAGGCAATAGTTACACTTTCGGATCCTTACAAGCAGATACATAAACTTAGGACCACAGTTTTTCCTGTCTTTTAATCAACTTATGAATGAGTGTGATAAGAAAAATGTGTAGAATGAATATATATATGGGAATTCTTTTTGAATTAAGGAATACACATCCCTCATGCACAGCCCTAATCATATGTGCGGCTTTGGCTTTACATTTTGTCCCTTTTGGTTTATAAGCTTTTCATTTTTTAATATGTTTTGGATTTTCAGATATTTTGCCTCGAGCACTGAAGGGACATTTATTGTCACAATCGGCATCCGGTTGCAGAAAAATTGGTACCGTTAATGTTATTATCCCGTACTTTGGTAAATCAGACGAATGCGTTTAATTAGCCTCCTATCTGACCTTGCAAAAAAGGTGGATAGGATTTTCTTAAAACACATGGTTTACCTACGTATGTTTTCATTAGTCCTTATAATAAGACCAAAGACAGGGAAATCTCTGTATAACAAGATAGACTCGCACGAATAATTTACAATCGGCATTGCTTAAGTTTGTGGTAAAACCTTAAATAGTTAGTTGGTCTTTTATATAATTTTAATTCTTAATGAAATGTAAAGAAAAAGAGTTTTAACCTACTAAATAGTGTTTTCCCTAACTCTCTTGGTATCTACACCGCCAGCATCACATATTGTCACGTTTCTATCTTGGTCTTGGTCTTGATGCAGAGAGCTGGTCTTGGAAATTGTAACAGAAAATAATTGGCAATGACACAAAAAGTTTAATTGTTTTCTAGGGCAGTGTATCAGAGGACTTTTGTATGGATCTGAGCAAGTTGAACAGAGAATCATTGCTTTTTTTTAATAGAAAGTAGATTAGAAAGTTATTTATGAGTTATTTTAGGCCTCTGCGGCAGTAGAATATGAAGACATTGTATTATTGTTTTAGCAGAAGATCAGCGAGTCAATGTATGTGTATATATATATAGGACAGCAGAACAAGAAATGTGTTGTACATTTATGGGGTATTGTCATAATTAAAAACAACCAAGGTGTCTGGTCATTATTGGAGGAGACATGACAGATACCTTCACTAATATAGATTATAAGCATAATATGTCAAAAGATATGTACTCAGTTTAAAATATTTAATAAAAATGCATTAGCTAGGTGATATATGGCGAGAAACATATTGTTAAAAAAAAACCAATTCACTTGGAGACGGAAACAAACATCAAAGAAGCATCCAGAATTGATTTCTTTTCAACGTTACCTGAAATACAAACTCAAATGGAATCAGTTCAGAAAAGATAAGCCATTATAACCCATACATACCATCAAGCAATATCTCGTATGATAAATGGTAGATCACAACAAAAAGGAAAGGGATATTTTGAGACAAATAATAGTATTTTAGAAAATAAAGAGTATCAAAACATCACAAAAAACTTATAAAACAGTATAAATATAAAGTATTACTTATCAATGATATTGGGCTTCAATGGGATCTTTTTAAAACAGAGGTGCGAGACTACACTATGGCATTTTGTAAACAGAAACCACACAATAATGTAAAACACATACACATTTTTGAAAATAAACTTAAAAATTGAATCAAAATATTGTTATATACAAATACATATACATATGAACATTAACGTTTCTACAATCTGTCGATACCTGTATTTTGGCATTGCACAAGGTCATGTTTTCGATGACTGTTTACGACGTCTTTACACTAAATCCATTTGATGTTGGATGTGTGCTGTTTGATACTTTAGTCTTAGATATATGATTTCTTTTTAGTTGTTATTGGCTTTGCACTAGCTGTCAATAACTTCGAGTACTCTCAGATATGTACTTAATGTCTACTTTGTTGTATTGATCTATGAATACCGTGCCACGCCATGTCTGTGTTTGTGTGATCTGATGAGTTAAACCCTTATCAACTGATTTTTATTGTTTGTCCATATGATGTACTGTTACACCGCTGTCCAAGGTTAAGGGGAGGGTTGGGCGCCCGCGAACATGTTTAATCCCGCCACATTCTTTATGTGCCTGTCCCAAGTCAGGAGCCTGTAATTCAGTGGTAGTCGTTTGTTGTATATTATATTTGTATTCCGTTCATTGTTTTTTTTTTTTTTTCATAAATCAGGCCGTTAGTTTTCTCGTTTGAATTGTTTTACATTTGTCATTTCGGGGCCTTTTATAACTGACTATGCGGTATGGGTTTTGCTCATTGTTGAAGGCCGTACGGTGACCTATAATTGTTAACTTCTATTTCATTTGGTCTCTGGATGAGAGTTGTCTCATAGGCAATTATACTACATCTTCTTATTTTTATAAATACGAAATGCCTATAAGACACTATTATTTATTTTAATGAAAAAATTAGTAGATTAGAAAATAAACTATGCAATTTATATGAATCAAAAACTGAAGGGGCACAAAGTAGGTCAATACTTAAAAGTGTGGAAGAAAGGGAAAAAATACAAAGTTCTTTTTAGGATTAGAAAAAGCTATGCAAACAAGAAAAAAATTGTGATAGAAGTTGAAATTTTAGCGTGTAGGATGAGACA